CTCTCTCTCTCTCTCTCTCTCTCTCTCTCGCTCTCGCTCTCGCTCTCGCTCTCGCTCTCTCTCTCGCTCTCTCTCGCTCTCTCTCGCTCTCTCGCTCTCGCTCTCGCTCTCGCTCTGTGTGTGTGTTGTGTACACACATGTGTGTATATGTGTGTATATATGCGTGTATGTGTGTATATGCATGTATGTGTGAGAGAGTGCATGAGTGTGTGTGTGTGTGTGTGTGTGTGTGTGTGTGTGTGTGTGTGTGTGTGCAGGCTAGAGGTTGATATTGAAAGTCTTTAGTGATCTTCCTGTTTCTTCCTCCCTGGCACCAGAGGTATAGAAGCACCCAGTTTTTCCCATGGTCTGGGGATCAAACTCAGGCCCTCAAGTTTTTGAGGCAAGCTCTTTTGTGACTGAACCTTTCCAGGCCTGTGTGCTCCCTGAAGACGTGCTGACTCCTCCTGCTCTAAACATAAGTTCACGGTTTAAAAAGTGGGCGGTGCATCTGTCCTCTGAGCATGAGAGCGCACTGCTCCTAGGGATTCCCCTCTTCATCTTATGCAGCAGCAGGCCAGTACTTTGTCAAATATCCCATTTCCCCTCTCCAGTAAGTACATACTCTACTCCATAACTGTTTAACATTTCTGTCTTCAAATAACTATTCAAATCAACAGGTAAAAGAGATGCAGATTTTCATATTAAAGAGTATTTTCTCTCTGTCTGCCAGGATTATCTCAGGAAATTTTACCTTCATGACTCTAAAGCAAAGGAGGCCAACAGCCTAGTGGTCAAACTCAAGGAAATGCAGAAGTTCTTTGGCCTGCCCGTGACTGGAAAGCTATCCCCCCAGATCGTGGAACTAATGCAGAAACCGAGATGCGGAGTGCCAGATGTTGCAAAATATTCCCTAATGCCAGACAGTCCAAAATGGCATTCCAGAGAAGTCACCTACAGGTGAGGTTCACTTTGGCTCATTCTGAGGGAGGCAATGAAACCTTTTTCCTGGGAACTAAACACTGTTTTCTTATGTGTTGTCAGAATCATGTCCTATACTTCAGACTTACCACAGCCCAAGGTGGATCAAATCGTGGCAAAAGCTCTCAGAATGTGGAGCAAGCAGATCCCACTGAAGTTCAGAAGGGTCAGGTGGGGGACTGCAGACATCATGATTGACTTTGCAAAGGGAGGTAAGGATGGCTCCTGCAGGCTAATCCTGTGTCTGTTCACCTGATTGCTCTCCTTTCAAGACTTAAACCCTTTCATGAGCACTAGAGAGGGCTCTTATTGGTGAAAGGTGTGTCTAACATAGGAGAGGCCTTGGTTTCAATTCTCAGCATCACACACTGGTTTAAGATCTTGACTCCAGTGAGCCTTCAACATATGGTGGTCACCAGTGCTGAGCAGTGGATCTAACGACAGACAGGTGCCTAGACCAAATCCACAGCTCAGCCTGTGTTTGTGAAACTGGCTCTTGGTAGCTGGGCGGTGGTGGTGCACGTCTTTAATCCCAGCATTCAAGAGACAGAGGCAGGCGGATCTCTGTGAGTTTGAGGCCAGCCTGGTCTACAGAGTGAGTTCCAGGAAAGGTGCAAAGCTACACAGAGAAAAAAGAAAAAGAAAAGAAATTGGCTCTTGGTGCCAGGAGGTCAACTGGACCAGCCTCTCTCTCCAACCTTCATAACCGTATGATCTGGAGAGATGAGGTAACCGGAAAAAACTAACAGACATCACACTGCACTGTCTTGCAGATCATGGAGACAGTCTCCCGTTTGATGGGCCAGGAAACACACTGGCTCATGCCTTTGCGCCGGGGCCAGGCCTCGGAGGAGACGCTCACTTTGACGAGGACGAATACTGGACTGATGGTGATGGCCCAGGTAGAGGATCCTATGCCTCTTCTACTTCCTATCTTTTTAGAAACCCAGACTTACACCCGCTTTAAATTTGATCATTGCTTTAATTATAACAATTAGAGTCACCTTAAGGGCCAGCTACTGTATTATATGCTTTAAATGTTTTATCTCATTTAATATCTTCTTTTTTAAAATTTGTGTGTGTGATGTATATGGAAACCCACATGGTAAGAGAGTACTGATTCTCAGAAGTTGTCCTCTGACCTCCGTGTGTGTGTGTGTGTGTGTGTGTGTGTGTGTGTGTGTGTGTGTGTGTGTTGCTCTCCTTCCTGTGTGTAGATGAAACCTGAGCTGCAGATTCCTTTCCCTGTCACCTGCTGTTTCCATGACTTCCCTGACATTGTGGACTCTGTCCCTCTGGGACCAGAAGCCAAAATAAACCCTTTCTTCCTTAAGTTGGTTTTGGACATGATGTATTGTCACAGCAACAGAAAAATCAGCGATGCATTCTCCTTCTTGCCTGCCTCGCTTTTGAAGGAGTGGAAACAAGCAACTAAAGATGGCTGGGGCATGGCTACTGTCCTTCATCACGATGTGATAGAGTACGGTCTTTATACAGTTATTTTAATATTTAACATACACTTCCCTGGCTGTAGGAGTGAACTTCCTGCATGCTGCCACCCATGAATTCGGCCACTCTCTGGGTCTGGGCCACTCTTCCGACCCCAGTGCTGTGATGTATCCTACCTATGGAAATGGCAACCCAGAAGACTTCAGACTTACAGAGGATGACATTGAAGGCATTCAGAAGTTATATGGTAAGAGTTATGGCTTTCGAGAAGAGAATGTCAGATATGAAAGAAAGATCTCAGGAAATGGGGAATGGCCTAGAGATCCACAGTGGGATTTAAACCTGAAAACCTGTGTAGTAGGCCAGGGCACTGGGAGGCTACCCTGTGTGAGGCCCTCAGTTTATTCCTCAATACTTCAAACAAATACAAATCAAGACCTTCTGAGGGGAAGCAACAACCTTACATTCCTGAAGAAGATGTTCTATACTATGCGCATGATGAGATACTCATTTTATTTTTAGTTGATTTTTATGTATTTTTTTTTGTGTGTGTGTAAGCTCACAAAATACAATACACATGTAGAAGTCAGAGGAGAATTTGCAAGAGTCGTTTCTCTTCTGCTATGTGGGTCCCAAGCATAAAACTTGTTCATCGGGCTAGGCCTATGAGCCCTTATTCACTAAGCCATCTCACCACAGCTGACATTTCACACTTTAAGCTTTGGAAGTCCACTATGGGATGGAAATGTTATTACCCTTCCTTGCAGAGCTCGGATGCGTATGAGAGCCCCCACCCCAAACACCATTCATAACTGCCCACTGCCAAGGAGTTGCCCTACACGGTCAAAAGTGACTCAAGTCTCCCAGGTTTTATAAACATGGAGGGGAAACGGTCGCCCACAGATAGCAACAGCTATAATAGGAACCACCGCCCGTGAAGTCTCTAAAGTTGTATGTCCTAGCCTCTCCTTTGTTTTAATCAAATTCCAAAATCAAATGTATCAAAAAGCAAAAGTCAGTCAGCATTTGCTCGATGAAGCTTGTTAGAAATAGGGTTTGGGAGACAGATGAGAGGCGTGGTAAAAAGCCATGTCCCTAGATAAAGATGAGGACAAGAAGAAGGTTCAAGGAGAAGGGACTCGTGCAGAGGTATGTGGCTTCCAGGTGACAAGTCAGCTCTCCTGACTTCAGGTGTTGTTATATATTTCTGCATCTTCACCTTCTCAAAGAGACACAAGAATCTGGAATTACATATATATCAAAACCTACTTCACACATAAAGGAAGAATGAGAATGCACGGTGAAATAATCAGAGTCTTTGAATGATCAAAAGAGAGACCTGTACTCAGGGAAAATTATTTCTACAGGGGAAGAAATGGATGCAAGCATCTGCCAAACCTTTTACTGCACGTCAACATTTCCCAAACCGTGTTCCTAGGGCAACACTTTGCAAAGGAGGTTACCACAGCAACATAATGTTGATAGTACAACCTGCTGAGCTCAAGTGCTGAGCACGTGTTCATGCAAGTCTTCCTAAATGAGAGTGGTTTTGAGACATGTTCTGTCTGTATTGTCCTTGCTGTCCTGGACATGCGCTGTAGACCATGAATACACACACACACACACACACACACACACACACACACACACACACACACACACACACAGAGCTGTTCCTGCTGTGTGGCCTTGAATGACCATTACCTCCTTCCTCGCACTCATGCATACTCAGTTCTCCCTGTGAATTAGAAAACAGAAATACATTTAGTTTTGCTGATATAGATTATGCCCCCATCATGCACTCTAAAGAGGTGCATCCTTCTTCTTTTCAATTTCACTTAGAGGTTTTTCTCCGTGCTCTAAAACTAAGAAATACCAGCACAACCATGAGAAATGCATTACAGAGGTGAAGCCACAATCCACACTAACGTACATAGTATATAAAATATATAAAGTGACTCCACTGCCTCTGCCTCTCTGTTGCTAGAATCAAAAGCGGGTGCCCCACACACCTCATCCAGCTAACACAGATGGCTTTTTGGTTTTAGTTGTGTTTTGTTTGAGCTGGGAATTGAACCTGGGACATTGTCTGTGTTAGTAAAGATAAGAATTTTGCTATGTGATTTATGACACTTCTTAATGTTCTTATTTTCTTCCTTAACAGGAAAGAGGGATGATTTGTGGACGATGCAGACACTTCAAAGAGGCTAACTGTGCTTTCATTAGGCTCTCCATTGCATTCCCAATCAGAATGAGCAAACGCCCTTCCTGAACTATTGGGGACTTGGGGGGTCCAGCCCCTCAATAGTCCCCTCCCAGGGTCCGGGAAGAATCTACAACCAGCTAAAGAAATGAATCTATGTACACGAAACTCCTTAGTCCATACACTTTATTATTCTGTGTGAGTTCTCTCCCTATAAGCTTCTATTCTCTTTTAGCTCCTTTCCTGCCTGATCTCTCTATATTCATCTACTGCTCCCTCTAAGTTCTAGCTTAATCCTCTCATCTTAATTCTGCCTCATCTAGGTCCTTATCATCTTGCTCTTATCCAGCTAGTACTTCCCCATCTGGCTCTTCCTCATCTTCCATCTCTTCCACACGTTCTCTCTGGTCAAAATCCTCCTTATCCTTCTCTGTTCTCCGTCTCTAAGTTCTCCACATTCCTCCTAAGTCTCTCTGGAATCCAGTTATAAACCCAAGCAATAGCAATCCCCCGGTCAAGCAAGGTCACCAGGCTTGAATTCTATGGGGTCATAAAGGCAGGTAAGAATTTTCTTCAGGCAATGACCACCAGGCTTTCTTTTACAATCCAAAATGGGAGTGGTAAAGAGGAGGTCAACTGAGTGCTAATGAACGGTTAGTATGTGAAAAAAGGATCTATGTGCTCAGTCTACATTCTTAGAAGTGGTTAGGTAGGAAGTTAGGGGTCATTAGTAAGGTTATATAAGAAAGGAGGGTCTCACCCTAAATTGCACAAGAAATAAAACTATCTGCCTGACCTAGGAGACAGGTGTAGTTTCGTTTGGTCTTGGATGCTTGACAGGCATTTTAGATAAATACACTGTTAGGAGTTCTTGGAAGCATGCAAGAAAATCATTTTAGGAACCAGCTAATATATATATATATATATATATATATATATATATATATATATATATATATTTGCTAAAATATCACCAAGATTTCTTAAGCCATGGCTTGACCTTTGGAGAAGTCCTCGACTTCTCCAAGTATCAGCTTTTGTGATAGTAGCTGAATTCCATTATGTTTTCCTGTGGCCTGCAGCACTGAAGTGGGTGTGGCACTTGCTCCATTGTTCTGTGGGTGGGTTTTGCATGTCCCTCTGAGGGTCTTCTTTACTGGGTAGTTCTGAGTAGTCTCAGGTGACACGAAGTTGGTAGACATCAATAAATGTTACAATGCACAAATAACCCCATTGCTCTTCTGTGGTGAAATTACTCCTACTTGAGAAAATTTTTTCAGTGACAAAGGAAGAGAAATCAAAGACAAGGTGAGAAACTAATTCAGCCATATTCTTTGAGGTTCTTCAGGTACACCTTCACCAAATGGAGCAGGTGGGCATGCCTCCTCTCCATTAGTCCTTGGTACAGCCAGGCAATGACATGTCCTTATCCTTTTGGCTTAAGCCCTCTCTGAGTCTGCTGTGAAGCCACGTTCTTCCCATGGGATGCCTAAGCTCCTGAGGACTTACAGCTTCACGGTTACTACCAGCTCTAAGTTCGTGACACCATATCTCCCCTCTTCCTGCCCTCTACCAATCCAAATGTTAGAATCACCTTCTTTTTTTCTAACCTACAACCCATAAAAAGAGCAAGTAGTGGTGGGGCACGGGGTGGAGACAGGAGGATGACTGGGGCTTGTTGATTGCTACCCTAGCTCCAGGCTCAGTGAGAGACTCAGTCGTAAGACGTAACTTGGAGAGTGATAGAGTAGGACACTGAATATCCTCCTCTGGCCTCTGTGAATGCACACCAATGCATACACCACACACACACACACACACACACACACACACACATACGAGGGTGGGTGTAATAATAATGGGTATACCTATTGCCTTGGAATCCTCACTTAACCTACATCAACCATTTCTCTCTGGCTTCCTGCCTGCAGCCTTCCAGTTCACTCTGGCCCTCAGGCCTTCAGACCCTTGTGAAGCTAGGCTTCTGCTCAAACTCGGTTTCCTGCTGTCCTGTGCTTCTTTTCATGCTCTGAGATTCACTAACAGGCTTCTCTGGGAAGCAGTCTCTGGGGGATTAGGACACAGCATTGACCATTGCTGTGGCCAAGGCTTGACCATTCCCTCCCCATTCCTCGCACTCATGCATACACAGTTCTCCCTGTGAATTAGAAAACAGAAATACATTTAGTTTTGCTGATATAGATTATGCCCCCATCATGCACTCTAAAGAGGTGCATCCTTCTTCTTTTCAATTTCACTTAGAGGTTTTTCTCAGTGCTCTAAAACTAAGAAATCCCAGCACAGCCATGAGAAATGCATTACAGAGGTGAAGCCGTAATCCACACTAACATTCATACAGACTAGAGATCAAAGACACCTAAACAGAATGGAGGAGCACATCTGTAATGGGAAACGGGAAGTTACAGGCTGGTGAACTCAAGTTTCTGATTCTGTAAACAACAAGGCAGCCCATAGGATTCACCATAAGCAAATGCAGTCATGCACCAAGCATTATTTGGGGGGCGGGTGGCTTAACACTTGCATTCTGTCTTAAACAAGAGGAGGCCAGACCTCTCTTGCAGCTGGCATGACTACCTATTCTTTCCTTATCCAGTCTTCCCTCCACACCTCCAAATGCCAGGATACTGTGTTGTGCCAGCTGGGAGGGGAATGCAGGGCTGGAGTGACCTACAAGGCAGTCCTTCCCCACACTAGAGGGATGAAATCTGACTCTGGGGCTCTGAAGACACCACCCACTGGGTCCTGCTTGGCCAGGCTCCCTGAATTGTCTGTCCTGCCCTCCCCATCGTGTAGGTGGGGGCTTCTCAATCTCGTGCCCGGCTAATGCCTTCCAATCAGTTGGTCCTTTCTCTTATCTTTGGTTTGAAACCCACCCCCACCCGCACAGTGGCTTGACTTGAAGCAAGTTACACCCCTTATTTCGGTCTCAACAATGAAACCGCCCTTGACTGAGCATAGAGAAGCTTCAGTGAAAATGACATAAAGACCACTTGTGAACAGTACATTCCGTAGTAAAAGACCTGGGTTCTGTTTTAATTTTGATGAAAGGCACATCACATTATAGCTTATATGTTAACTATAAAGTACACAGCTTAGTACTACTGGATATGTTTATATTGTTAAGTAAAATAATGTTTTTGAGAGAGGGTTTCTGTGTCTCAGGCTAGCCTAGAACTCTCTATGTAACCAAGAATGACTTTTACCTTCTGCTCCTCCTGCACCCACCTCCCCAGTGATGTACAGATGTGTGCCACATACCTGGTTCATAGAGTGCTAGTGCTAGAACCCAGAGACTTTTGTATGCTAGGTAAACATCCTGATAACTGAGCCACAGCCCCAGAAGAAACAAGCTTCCCGGCCTCAGCACTGTGGGCATTTTTCTACAGATTTAAATATTTTTTTGTGTGTGTATGAGTGGTTTGCCTGCATGTATGAACTGAAGGTATCGATGGTTGGGAGCCACCATGTGGGTACAAAGAACCAAACCCAGTTCTCAGTGAGAGCAACTGTGCTCTTAACCTCTGAGCCTTCTCTGCAGCCCTCTGCGGGCATCTCTGACTGTGTGTTGTGGTTTGTTTAGCAGTAATCTCTGACCTCTCCTAATGCCGATAGAGCATCCTCAGTTCTGGCAGTCAGAAATGCTCTGACATTGCCCAATGTCTCCTAAAGGGAGAAGTAACCTCCCATTTAAGAACCACTGATTCTTAAATCACTGAAAGAAACCACCAAAAACCATTAAAGAATATTGATTCTTAATGTCTTATATGTTGTGTCTCCTGCACCCTTCTTTTCATCCAGGGCTGTGCTGGCTAGTTTTATGACAACTTGACACAGGCAAGAGTCATCTGGAAAGGGGGAACTCAATTGAGAAAATGCCTCCATAAGATGGGGCTGTAGGCATTTTTCTTGATCCGTGATTGATGGGGAGGACCTAGCCCATTGTGGGTGAGGCCATCCCTGGGTTGGTGGTCCTGGGTTCTGTAAGAAAGCTGGTTGAGCAAGCCATGATGAGCAAGCCAGTAAGCAGCACCCCTCCATGGCCTCTGCATCAGCTCCTGCCTCCAGGTTCCTGCCCTGTGTGAGTTCCTGCCCTCTGTGAGTTCCTGCCCTGTGTGAGTTCCTGCCCTCACTGCTTTTGATGATGACCTGCTTGTGTGGAAATGTGAGTGAAATAAACCCTTTTCCTCCCCAAGTTGCTTTTGGTCATGGTGTTTCATCATAGCAATAGTAGCCCTAAGATAAGAACCCTACCTGTCACTAATCCTATACCATCCCACTGAAAGGAAAACCAGTATACAATTAAGGTAACACTGGCCACTTTTGAAACTCACTTGAGAAATACATCACATTTTAGGGAATGAAGTAACTTGTACTCCAGCACCAAGATATTGTGTTTGTATGAATGCCACAAGACTTGTTTTTTGTAAGGTGTGTGTGTGTGTGTGAGTGTTCTACTCCTCTTTCTCCTCCTCATCCTCTGCTTCTGCCACTTCTTCAAGTCAGCAGACTGTGATTTGAGAAGAGTTCTGAGGATCTGGTATTATACTGCACACCCCTGGAGGAATTGTTGCTGGAACACTTGGGAAGCTGAGGCGCTCGGGTCCCTTGACCCACAGAAGGGTGGAAAAGAGAGAAAGAGGAAGAAGAGGGAGGCTGAGAGAAAGGAAAAGGTCTAAGCGCACACTCTGCCCTCCCTCAGACGTCCCTCTTCACAGTGACGAAGGAATAAACTGGAAAGGGAAGGAACCTGCAATAGACAAGGGATCGAAGGAACTTCTGGAAGACCTCAGGCAACCGTTAGTGAGGCTTGAAACACCAAGGCCGACGGTAGGCGGCTGCTGAGGTACAAGACCGCAGAAGCCTTGTGATCCAGGCGAGGTTTCGAGGCAGAAGGCAACACGGGAAGCAGGGGCTGAATGATGAGTCTCTGATCACAACTGACCTCAGCTCCCAGAATAGAGAGAGATCCACCGTCATGGCTGATGGCCTCAGTCCAGTCCCTAAAACACACACGGTAGGGGAAAGAAGCACCTCATGCAAGATTCCTGCTCACAACCACCAGGAACTCCAGGGCCCCGATGCCCTGTTTGGTCTCCACAGGAATGCACACATGTGCACACACTGCCACACAGACACACACACATGAGGTAATTACAAATAAACTCCATCTTTTAAAAAAGAGAAAAATAATTCCTCCTTTAGTAGATGGCATCTCAACTCACTCAAGCAGAACACCAGACACAGTACAGACGAGACTGAACTTGGCACGGTGAGCTAACTGTTTTAAATGTCAGTTCTCCAGAAAAGCCAAATGCCTGTCAGTCTTTTAAGGACAAAAATAAGTAACTCACTTTTGGGTCATCAACCTTTTCTTCTCATGTCTTCTCTGAGAGGCAACCTTCCGCAGACCTTGGTGGCCAAGTATGTCCTATCCTACCTCCTGCTATAGTTACCTGAAAAAAGGAACAGACAGCTGCCCCAGGCATAGACAGGAGGCACCTTCAGGAGAATACAAATTTTTACTCATGTATTCGACGTGTATTGTTTTCTATGCTCCAGCACTGTTTTAACCTTGAGGGTGTGATTCCCAAACAAAGAAATCTCTGTGCACATGGACCGGGAAAACTTACCACAAACAGTGAAGTGGCAGCCCTAGAGAGAGCAAATGGACTGAATCACTGTGCATCACATCGATGGGTGTGGGAACGGGAACTCAGAGCGGAGGTTTTCTGGTGATGAGCTTCTACTGGGAAGATGCATGAGGTGTGGCTGCCGAGGACCTGGAGCAGGAATCTTAAATGGTCTTATTAATAAAAAACAAACCAGGAGCCAAATATTGGGGTGAATTCTAAACCATCAGAGAAGCAGAACAAGCCACAGTT